CAAATTAATTAGGGTCATATTGGAATAAAAATTCCGAATAAGGATTACAAACTCATACATATATATAAGTATATGTATGAGGTGGTTCAAACTTCAAACAATAAGAAGTGCTTGTACAAGAACAATAAAAATATTATGGTTTTATATAATTTATCTTCTTAAAATTATTAAGCTTTTTATTTCATGACCAGAGTTCAGGCCAAACATTGATGTTCATAAATTGTAATATTGCATTTCTTTAGGACTAAAAATAGGATTGGGGCCAAACTTTGTTTATGTGGGTATGAGTATGACAAGCTGACATGGTGCATTAGTTGAAGAAAAAGGAAGATGAGTTAGATTTTGTGGGGTGAAAGGTAGAAAAGAAATAACATATGAAGCAAACCTTTTATGGAAGCTAATTTTGCAATTTAGCCCCTGAATTTACTGAAAAAACACAAAGGGACCCAGGACCCTCCCTAGCTGATCAATAATTCTTATTTAGCAGATTATGTTATGCCATTTTTAAAATTCTCCAAGATGCATCATGTTTAAAAACTAATTAAGTAAAGTGCAACAATGCTCAGTGTCTTGATAATAAGTTGAAATGAACAGACAATTGCCAATAACAATATATAGTGTGTCTGTGTGTGTAATACTGTAATATAGATGCCTTTTGATTGATCTCACAATTTAATTTCCTCTTATTGGGAAAGATGCTTAGTCCTAAATTTGACAGCCACAAAACATCTATATATCTATATATATATATTAAGAATTAACATTTATCAAAAATAGTAAGTCAATCTTTGGTCAAAACTGATCAGCATTAATTACATGCTATTTATAGTATATTTTTTACTAAAAAAGGGACAACATTAAATGTTGTCCTTACAATGAGCAGTTTGTTATTTTTTTATTTTCAAAAAAGTGGGCTGCGATTTAAATTTGGTCTAACGAATATTTGCGATGGTTTGACACGATGTATATATCAAAAACTGATAATGCACAGGCTGCATCAATTAAATTTGGTTATTGGTTACAATAAACTATTTTTAAATTTGAATAAAAATGTACGTCACGACTGCTAATTCAATTAAACATCGGCCAATTATATTCTCCAAATTTAAAACCAAATATTCTGCTAATAGAATTGCTTTGCTTGACAGTTTTTTTTAATAAAAAAATTACGACTAATTTAGTAATAAAAAAATTTATATGTTATTTTTTCTAACCATAAAAATATGCTTTTGTATTTTCAAAATATCGGAAACTTTTTTTATCTATAAAATCGGCTAATACATATGTTTTGATTAGCAAATTTTATTTAAACAAAATTACGGCTAATTTAAGGGTAAAATTATAAAAAAAAAATTAAAAAATTATTTGTTTATTTCTTGTGAAAATATTTTTTCTAACCATCAAATCGAGGAGTTTCAATTAAAAGAATAAAGTTGCGGCTATTCAATTGTTTTGTTTGACAATTATTTATAAAGAAAAATAATACACGGGTCTAATTTTGAAACGATCAAATTTTTTATGGTCTTTGTTTAAATCAGAGATTTGAAATAAGAATAATCTTCATATTTAAATTGCTTTAATTGTAAAACGTGATGTATACAAGATTTAGATAGATTTATCACATATCATCCTCTAAATTAATGATTTATTTTTTAAATTTTAAAATACCAAATCAAATTTTTTATGGTCTTTGTTTAAATCAGAGATTCAAAATATCTTAATCTCTATATTTAAATTGCTTTAATTGTAAAACGTGATGTATACAAGATTTAGATAGATTTATCACATAACTCCCCTAAATTAATGATTTTATTTTTTTCTAGGTTTCAAAATACCAAATTCTAAAGTTGCGGCTGATTTAGTTATTAAACGATATTTTGCAATCATAGATTCGGGTTATCTTCAAATTCAAAATTTAAATTGCCGATATGTACATCAATTTGGACAGATTAAATATATATGATCTAAAATGAAGGATTTTATTCCATTAAAAACAAAAAATATGAACTTAAGATGTAGATTTTATTTTGCACGTGTGATAATACAATATTATATGCTATGAAAGTCATATTGT